GCAGCCAGATGTGGACTGCTGCGTAATGCCTTCCTGAGATTTGCCAGCCTCATGGCAAATGGGTAATGAAATGCACAGTGACTTCCAAAGGGCATCAGCACAGAGGGCTGCCATCAAAAGGTTTCCCATCCTCAGGTGGCTTTAGCCTGGACCTGTCGTCAAAGCTTTCATTCATTCTCAAACCCAAATAAAGCCCTCCCTTTGAGGAAGCCTGAAACAACGGAACAGCAACGGACAAGAGGGGAGCTATATAAAGGAAAGGATACAAGGGCCAGCAACACATGGACTGAGCAAGTGGCAGTCAGTGATGTATCACCAGCAGTAATGCACCACTGGGAGCATGAGAGAACTCAAGTTATACAAACTTGGTGTAAAAGCAAGCTTTTGCTTCATACTATCTCACCCAAAAGCTAAGGTAGTCCTTTGGTTATGCCTGCTGGTAACACCTCAACATGTATGTACTTGCTTTGTACAGACCAGGGTGAGCCCACATATGCCCCACATTCTCTGCACATAGAGCCAACAAGTTGCTCAGGGGGGCACATGTCCCTGTGTGTGAGGCCAGTGAACCCAAGCAGGTATACACATCCTTGATTTACATCACACAAGTCTATCAGCCTGTTTTTCTCCTGCTGTGGGCAAAGGGCCAAGTTTACCTTCCCACTAGCATAAAAGGCTTTGCAGTACGGCAGATGTCACAGTGGGGTGTTCTCCCTCCACAGTGTCTCTGGGAAATGGGGAGGGAGAAATGCAGTGTCTGTGTAGGGCAGCTCCTAGATCACAGAGTCCATGACAGCTGGCCTGAAGTGAGAGCAGACTTCAGGAGGAATCTCTGTGCACTTTCATCTTCATGTCAGTGAGAGCCATAGAACAGCAGGAGAGCTTCCTGTCAGATCAAGCCTTAAGCAGGAGAAGACTCAAGTGTACCAGGCCATAGCCTGTAGGTACCAGTGGTACTGCCTGCTGCACGACGCCGGGGATTCCAACTCAGGAGCAAGTGGCAAAAAGAAGTTTCAATCAACAGACTGGCATCTCTCTTTTTGAGCATTATGGCTGTCCTTCTGTCCCTGGCAACTCTGCCTACATTTGCTGAAGAAGGGGCTTGTCTGCACCATTAAGAACCTTTACTTTACGCGATCGAGAAGAAATCAATGCTTTTAATTGTCAGCAATGGCAGCAGAGGAGGACAGGGAGATGGGAGGGGTGTTTCTCTGGAGACATGCTTCTCAGGAGAAATCCCAGTAGTACTGTCACAGGAAAAGAAATAGTAAGGACCTGAAGTAATTAAACTTCCAGGCAGCAATTGTTCACTGGAAGCAACGCAGAAACGGCTCTGAGCCTCATAGAAAATCGGGGCAGTGGCTTGGCTCTCCTAGGGTGCAGATGCCCCTGCCCTGAAGTCAATGGCTGGAGGTGACATTTACACCATGCTGGTGAGTGGAGAGAGGAGAAATGCGGACAGCCCCTTTCCTTTACTTTTCCTTTTGCTTTCCCTTCCTCTTCCCCCTCCATCTCGGTGTGTATAGGCACAGCCATGCCTCGCAAGTTTGGAAGCATCCGCATCGTGCGGCATAATCAAGTTATTCTAAATGAGATCTGAGACATTTTAATATCCTGAGGCCATACACCCTTAACTCCGCGTGCATCTTCCTCTCTCTCTTTTTCTCCATTTCCTCCTTCCCGCACACCTCTGCAGTTCCTGGAATGACAAGACACCTAACCGGCTGGCTGCAATTGCTAAAACACTCCCTAATGCTTTCTCCGATTGCATTAAGCGGCTTCTTCAGAGATACAGCCCTGTTTATTCATGCTGCTCGTGTGGAAGGGGAAAGAAATGCAGACTGCCTCTCCCCCTCCCTCCTTTGATTCGATGGGTGTGGCAGGTTTAAACCTTTGCAGCCGAGGCTCGCCAGCACTGGGCGCGGAGCGGAGGACGGAGCGGGAGGGAAGCCGTCGGATATGGCTGGTGATGAATGAGACTCATCTCACCCACAAGTGGGAAACCTGCTTGCGGGTTATTGTTTAATCACTCATGCAATCCAATACTGAGCACATACCCCCATCACGCCCATCTGTTCCAGTATGCGGTGCATACAACACTCGCATTTCTAGACACCTATCTGACTACCCAGCCCTGCAAATTACTGACCGCATCTCTTGCCAGAAGGAAAGGTTACATTCAATTTTTCAGAAACTGCCTGACACAGCCCTTACGTTATGCCTCTTTTTAGCTGAATATTTTGCGGGCATGGATTCAGAGGTGCAATTGGCTGTGGGCAGAAATGACAACACCAAGCTATCTACATCTCTCATGGGTGTGCAGTCAGATACCTCGCTCCTCACGCTAGCATTGCACCCACAAGAAAGAATCATCTGCAAACCGCAAGTGTGTGAACATATTTGTCTTCGACGGGCGGGAGAACAGACGCATACAGACGCACCTAGACACAAATGTGAAGAGATTCCTTCCACGCCCAAGCCTGTAACTTCAATGGTTTGCTCTTTTGCTGCCAGAAAGGCGGGACATCGGGGGTTTCCCCTAAAAAAATAATATGAGGTGAGCTGTCCTTATTTTTTGCGATGGAAGCTCTGATATGTCCTGATAACTCATTCCCTTTTTGTCCTTCCATGAAAGATCTGGGTGGGGGCATAGGAAGAGCCCAAGCTGAAAACTGCAATCTTTTTCTTCTCCAAATTAAATATGCCTCTAATGTACCACCAGCATCGCTGACCGCATTGCTATATTGCCAGTTTGGCAATTTCAGCATATATTGAGGTATAGGAATGGGAGCTGGGCTCCAAGCCCAGAAACATCCATGGAATATGCACAGGCAGGCACATTCAGGATGTATGGTCGCATAACGATGAGAAAGCATGTGCAAACAAGAGCATGTGTGCTAGTGCATATATGTGTAGTAGGGTTGCGAGCAATCAGAGAGCGCGGATGTGTGCTGCACGTGCACGCGCAAAGGGGTGTGTACCATGCGGTGGATTAATGTACAGGGCAGGGGGAGAGCACCGTGTGTGATCCAGATACCTGCATGCCACGCATTTCTTAATATGTTAGAATACGAAGTGATAGGAGCGGATGCACGCAGATGTAAAGAACAGCACGTTGCAGTTTGAATCAGGAGTGTAAATGCTCAGCCTGTGAAAGTGGAGGCAAAATTATTCCCCAATAGGTTTTTTTCTGACTCCAGAAGACTCCAGTGCTACTTACTTCATCTTAAAATTTGCCATGAACCTCTGCACTCTGCCTCTCTGTCTGCCTGCCTTTTCCTCCTCTGCTCTTTTCATCCCATAACTGCCAGCTGAACATGCTGTGCTGGCTGGCTGCAGTGTGATCCCCTCTCCCCCCAGCCATCACCCCCTCCCTCCAGATTTTAGCAAACGTATCACTAATTGCAGAGCATTTGAAACCTGCATGAGGAAAAACACAAGATGACGCAGGGTCCCTTTCCACCCTGCTTGCCTGCCCCTCCCCATTATTCTACAAAATCACTCCTTCATCTGATAACACGTTTCTCCATTCAGAAACACACCTTTCCCTGCATTTTTTTTAAGCACTGCACTGTTCTATAGTATGGGAGCTTCTTGCATCAATGTGCTAAGCTATGGCTCGAGAGTGCTGCAGTGCTATATTGTAAGGGATATATCAATGTATGCACATATAAAGTAACCACTGTGGTTCCACACCCAAGACTGAGTTGAGCTTTGCTCTCAGAACAAGGATCCAAGCTCTTTGTCATTACCTCTGAACCTATAATTAGGGGAAGTTCCCCAAATGCCTTATAAAGATATCTGGGGGCATCTCCTGCCTCCAAGTTTTACCTGAATAAATCCAACATCCTCCCAAGAAAGTCCAAGCAGCTCCATGAAAATGGGCTCTTTTAACAAGGAGCAGGTTTGGGCTTTCATACAAAATAAAAACAGGGAAGGTGGGAATGAATTATATAGCTTTTTTTTTTTTTTTTTTTCATCCAAATATATCATTTTAGATACAAAAATTTCATCGCTGACAATCAAGCCGCCGCCCGAATTTCCTTATCAACCCGATTTCCTGACAGGAAAAGCCAGGAGGAACCAGTGAAGAGAATGAACTGGTTTCCAACAGGTTCACACCGTGAGCCTCTCTTATCCCACCCGAGTTCGGAGCTGGCAGAGGCGTGGTCCTCTGTCTCCTCACCAGCTGGTGCACAGTTGTCTAACTGGTTGTACTACGAAGGGTACCGCAAAGAGGCTGCATCTCCCCTCTCCTGGCCAATGCTTTTGTTATTAATTACACTTTTCATTATACCATAGGTTGGAAGAAGGGGAGAGAAAAAAAAAAAAAAAAAAAAAAAAAAAAAAGCTAAATATTTTTACCCCTGCGGGTTTTTTTAAAAAAAAAAAAAAAAAAAAAAAGGAATGCACCTGTTCTCCGAGCCACCTCACAGCACATGCCCGTAAAGCATCTCCCATTCATCAGAGCCAGGAGCAATAGAAAGCACTCTGACCAGGGATCAAGGCTCACCGGGCATCCTTTCTTTTCTTGGCATATGATGAAGAATCGCTTCCTTTATCTCCAAGGTAGAGCCAGATCTCATCACGCTTCCTGCCAGCCTCCCCCCCCCCCCCCCCACCCTACATCCACACCCTCAGAACCAACGAGAGAAAATCCCAGGCAATGCATCTGATCACAATTAAAGCAAAAAATAATACTAATAGTAATGGGGAGATGCTGGTAGCTCCCCAAATGTGGACACAGGCCACCCCCCTCCCCACATCAGCAGCCCAGGAAAACCAAAGCAGTCACGCTGAAGGGTGTGAAAAGAGCCTTCAGTCGCAAGATGCTAAAGAATTGCAAAAGAGACATCTGCTGAAAGCAGCTGAAATGTCCTCCCCCTTGCCCCAGCCCCTACCCAAGCCCCTCACACATGCGGGCAGACACACACCCCACGGGCAACCAAGAGCCTGGGAGATTTCTTAGCAGAAAGAAATATAAAAATCTGCAGTTCTACCTGTTTTGTTCTTCTCATACAGCACAGCATGATCGTATTGTCCCCTTCCTTCCTTCTTCTTCCTTCCTTCTCCTCTCTGCTTTTCCTCTTCTCTCTCTTATCTCTCCCCCCCACCCTCTCCGCTCCCTCCCTCCCTCCCTCCCTCTCTCTCCTCTCTCGCACACGCACACACGCACACACGCACACACACCAGGGCAGCGAGCAGTGACTGGAAGGTCCACAGCCACCGCTCGTCGCACATGCACCCGCCGCCTCTCCCTACACCCTGCCCAGAATTGTTCCCCGGCGCTCCCCGACTCGTCCCCTCCCCGGCCCACCCCACGCCCAGCCCCGCAGCCCCCCCAGGTCCCTTGGCCAGCCTCATGAATAATTAACATCTCCAATCTGGACCCAATTACCCAACGCCTTTCAGAGGCTACTGGGAAGAGGGGACGCGGCGGGAGCCCCCAGCCCCGCTCCCACCCGAGCCCCCGGCCACGGTCGGGAGTGGGATTTATACATGGAGGAGCACGGGGTGGGCACGGAGGGGAGACGAGGGAGCGGGGTTCTTGCCGCCGCACGCTGTGTGCTTCATGCACAGGTGACGTACCGTAGGTGGGAGCTGTCAGCTAAACGGGAGTTGGAAAATATGTTAAAATGGCTGTTAGAAGCCCCCCCTCCCCCTCCCTGCACACCCGCAAACATATATGCACACGCTGCCATCTCCATGCATGCAGGCACAAACCCCCATGGCAATGTCTTGCTGTCCCTACAATGGGACAACTTTCCCTCTTGTCCCCTGAGTCCATCCTATAGACTTTGCGTAGGCACAGAAAACGATACCCCTGCAACAGATTTATTATTTTTTTAAATTTAAATAGCACTACAGAAGTCATCTGTCTCCCTTCTCTATAGTTCTATATTAATTTCCCTGCCTGAGTGATTTCTGCATCTATTGATCTCAGCCAGCGAATTTCTGTAAACTGATTTCTGTAAAACTATGGTAAGGGAGATGTGCATGTTCACACACAACCATCCCTATGCACGTGTAGGGGCAAAAATGTATGGGTCTGCATGCATGGCAGATCATGGCAATGAGTGAGTTGGAGTGAACATTAATGCACACACACACCTCCAAGCACACGTCTTGAAAGTTTTAGCATGGTGTTTTCTTGGAATATATACGAGCAGGGTAGCTATATCTGTCATTCTGAAAAAATATTCCAGACATTGTTTAAAGCAAAGCATGAGAATGTTGAGCATGTGAAAAACATAAAAAGACTGCTGGATTTTTAGGATTTCATCTACCGAAATTCAAATTTAGCTTATTTAATTTACTGTGTCTAGGAGGCACAGTCAAATGCTGTTCTCTTTCATAGTACTAATGTCACTACATCAACTTCTCAGTTACACCATGGAGTTACTCCTAATTTACTGTAATGTGAAACTGCTCACAAAAAAGAAAAAAGAGTCTTAGGTTATTAGTAAGTGTAAATATAGCTAAATAGATTCTGAATACAAATATTCACACACATACAAATAAATACAGATATAGATACAGTTTCTGAAATACCCCTCAGCGCAGACTCCTGCATAATCATATTCAGTTGCTATGACATCATTGCAATTCCCAGCACCCCATATTTTTTTTTTAAGGAAAGTAAACAGCATTTCAAAGAGAATCTATCTAGCTACATCTGTGTGTAGTTTAAGGGAAGTGCCTTTTAGAGTTAAGCAGGTATAAATATTACTTCTGGATTTATCGTCTGGAAAAGGGAAACCATTGCACGGTAATGAGATGCAGAGAAGATACTAAACTGGGAAGAGTTGTGAGCACCAGCTGACAGCGAAGTAAACCAAAGGATTAAATAACAAAAATTAGATTCATCTTCAGAAGATGAAGGGAGGGATTCAGAGATGCGGAGGGAAAGAAGGCAAACCATGCAATCGTAAAAGAAGTGAGAAGTGGATCTGCAGAAAACAATTGGCATCAGCTCAGAGGAAGGGATGTCAGTGGCATAAACCATTGATGGCAACTCCATGTCAAGGCAATGAGAAGCAAGGCTATAGCATTTTGGAATATGCCTATGGGGCTTACCAGTCTCTGCCCCAGCTTCAGATGTTGCCGGGGCTCATCTTCTCAACAAAACTAGTGTGCCGTGAGCTCAGATCTGCTTGCTACTCCACACAATGTGTGCCCTTGGGATACAGAACTCGCCCTGTTCAAGCACGCACTCTCTGTCTGCAAATATAACCCTGGACTCACTTTGGAGATAATGAAGAGGAATGGGAACTTCTAGGATGTGATTCAGATCATCCTATAGCAGAAGCCTAAACTGGGTCAGATGAATCACACTTCAGAAGTGTTTTAGAAGCTCATGTTCTTCCCACTGAAGAGGCCTTTTTAGGGAACCTCCCTGCTGTAGGGAGCCCTGGCAAGGAAAGCCTGCCTGGCCCCCACTTTTCCCAGACACCCACTCAGACAAGGAGCAGGCTGGCAGCTGAATGACTGCATGAGTACAGTGAAGGCAAATCCAACGTCCTGTATGCACTTGGTGTTGCTGCTCAGCCCCTGAAGTCAGAGCCAAAGTCAGAGCCACTTTGCTTCACATCCAGCCCCATATGGGCACTCAACACTCTCGCCCACTGCAAACCACTTCTGGCATAAAGACAAAAGTCCTTAATGAGTTTGCTGTGCATGTGGAGTTAGTGGTGGTCAGCCAGTCACTGGAGAGTCACATCTGAGTTCCCTCTGAATTAATCTTCTCATGTAGAAGAGCCATATACTGTGACCCAAGTTACCACTTATTTTAGTTCCTGACACCTTCTTCTTTAAAAATCAGGACCCCTTAAGTACTTTAAAAAGTGGTACTTTACACTGTTTACCCAGCTGCGTGGTTTTGACAATGATACGTTTGACGATTATGTGTTTGATAATTATATGTGAGGAGGCTAAGGGGAAGTATCATGGCGGCTGCAGCTCCTCACAGGGAGCGGAGGGGCAGCGCTGAGCTCTGCTCTGTGTGACAGCGACAGGGCCCGAGGGAACGGCATGGAGCTGTCAGGGGAGGGCAGCTGGGGGTGAGGGACAGGAGCTGCACCACAGGGCGCTGGGCATGGAACAGCCTGCCCAGAGTTCAAGGAGCTGGTGGAGTTCAAGGAGCATTTGGATAAAGCTCACAGACATAGGGTTTGAATGTTTTGTGGTGCTGTGTGGAGTCACGTGTTGGACTTGATGAATCTTGTGGGATTCTTCCAGCTCAGGATATTCTATGAGTCTGTGATATCCCTATACCTGCTGTCCTGCCATTTTGGCTATGTCATCACTTCAACTTGTAGGGTAAATTATCGGATTACCACATAGAAAGGAAAAAAAGGGATGAGTCCACAGCAATTATAGAAAAGTTGAAAAGAATGTGGAATTTGAGTATGAGGTTAAAGACACACACTTCAGCCAAGGCATTATTGAATATCAGAAGCAAAACTCAAGGAAAGTAGAGGTGAACCCCCATTTCTCAATGTCACTGAGTCAAGATAGGATGCTTTATTCAAATGACTCTTTCATCTCTCCACTGTGCTGCCAGTGCTGGCTCATTCACCACTCCTTCAGAGTTTCTGGATATCACTGCACTACGCAGTGCAGACATGCCCTGGAAGGCTCCTTTGACCTTGGCTTTTGAACCTGTACAAGTAAAAGGAAGAGCAGTTTCAGAGAACAACATGAACTGGGAACTGGGCAACAGGGCTGGCAGGAGGGGATGAACAATGAGTATAGATTTTAAATGCTTCATCTGTGAGACTTGTCTTAATGACACCTGAGGAGGTGGAGAAGTGTGGTATTTTCAAAAGCTGTAAGCCTCAAGAAGGGAAAGGAATTATTTGGAGAGATATATAGCCTACTGTTTGGTGTATGCTGCACGTTCCTCCTCTGTGAAGGAAGGTTTGGTTAATGTAAAATAATTATTAAGATAACTTCTTTAATTCAAAGCCATGTTTTCAGTTTAAAAGACTCCAGATCATTTAAAAGTAATGACACGTATTGGTGGTTGTTGCAACATAGGGTGGAGGGGAGGGAACTGAGAAATGCAAACCAGTGCTGTTTTCCTGTTGACTTCTCTTGCAAGGTTTATCAGCGCCTGAAGTTACCCCAGTAGGTCATGGTCCATGTTGGTTCAAAGAAGAACCATCTTCAGTTCAGCTGCAAATCTAGGTGCTACAGTAAAAGCTCACTTTCAGTTTTGGTTTAAAGAATCACCTTGTTTGAACTAGTTTCTGTGACTATCATCAGGCTGATCTCCTGGACAGAAAAAATTAAATAAAAGCAAGTTAAAGGAATACAATTTGCCTATAGGAACCATCCTAGTGGCAAGCAAGCTGAGCTGAAGAGGCGTCTTTTCAAGAGAGGCACTGTGAAAGTCCTGTTACTAAGGATATTTAAAGCTTCAGTATAAACAGAACTGAAGTGAACGACTTGCTTTCGTTAGGAGATAGATTGGATTTTCTCTTTATTCATATGTTCCACATATAGTGGTAGCCTTGCCTTTTGTTAGCCAAATTTCATACTGAAGGGAAAAAAGCCAATTTTAAAAAGATTTTTTAGGATCCTCATTTGAATAGGCATTCCTGAAAATCCCTCTGTTGGCCATTTGTATTTTTAATGTCCTCTGGAGCTATCCAACTCTGGTCTCATTTGGCCCCACTTTCAGTCATCTAAAGTCTATTGACACAAAATAGTGTAGTGTACCACTATGAGCAAACTCCTTTTTTAGCCTGATTTAGATATATTCAGGAATCTCCCTGGGGGAGTGTGGTTTCCAGTATAAGGGTTACTTATGCTACCTTAGATTTCAGTTAATCCTGAGTTTAAAAGTTAAAAAAGGAGAGCCTGGTTTATTTTGACAAGACTGTCCATGTTCATCAAGCTGAAATAAATGGCTTTGAAACCCTGATTTTTAATAGTCACAGTGCCAGTGTGGTATTGAATCTTTTAAATTCTGATACCTTATCTGGAAGGCTTCCAAAAATGCCAGTCCAGGAATGCTCAATTTCATTCAATGTCTTTAACAACTGCTTGGTAGCTCATCCTCT